TATATATATATATATATATATTTTTTTTTTATTTTTTTTTAACATTTCCTCATACAAGGAATGGCCATTATCAGTACTTCAGAACACATAAAGGAGGAACATGTTGTTCCCTCCTCTGTAACTTTGCTACCAGAGTGAAAATGGATTGAGAGCAGTGATTTGTCATTGTTAGGCTGAGTGGCCTGCCGCCTGTCACCGTGGTCATCCTGCCTTCCCCGAGTTCTTTCTCTGTTTTCATCTCTCTTTTTCTTCGCTTCATACCCTTTTAAAGTTTCTGTTGTCTTGACCCCAATCGTTCGTCTTTCACTTGTTACTAGTTGTTTGCCTTCAATTTCTTTCCTTTTAAGAGTTTTTTTTCAGGGTTTTTCTAAATATGGCAGTTTTCATCTGGATTGTTGGCATTTTTATATGTTTGTATAAAGTTACGGTCAGCAGTTTGAGAAAATTCAGATTTTTATTATGAAATCTCATTTCATTTTCTCTCCCTTCTTCAGGTTTAGAAAAAGTTGGCCGGGACTCCAGCTACGAACAGGAGGGGAAGGTGCAGTTTGTGATGGACGCCGTCTACGCCATGGCTCACGCCCTGCACCGCATGCACCGTGAGTTCTGCTTCGGCTACCCCGGCCTCTGCCCCCGCATGGCCAATAGCATCGATGGCAAAGAGCTACTCAGTCACATACGTGCCGTGAACTTCAATGGTGAGTGATGACACTACACACTTAACGTCCACACAAGTGAGGCTGATGGATCAGTGGTATTTAAATATATAAAAAAACAAAGCAATGATCACCAACTGGTGGCCCGTGGGCTGAATCTGGACCACCCAACGAGCCAATCTGGCCCGCGATTTGATAAAAAAAAAAATCAAATAATTATGTTAGACAAAAATCAGATTTTTATTTCATTTGTGGTGACTCAATATGGCCGCACACCTGCAAACAACAATTTAGTATATATATATAAAAAAAACACGGATCATTGAAATATTTGTCTGTTGCTGCTTTAGAGGTGAGATAAAACTGAATGTGTCTGAGTGGAACCCTTCTGAAAACCAGCTGTGCTCAGGTGGCTGTCTCTGGAACAACGGTCTTATTGTGCTTAAAGTTTGTTCGTCTCTTATTGTGGGTGGAGAAGGGGAAGAAATAAACTCTTAAACACAAGGTCACAGAAAGTACACCCCCATGAATCACCGAGGACCTCGTCGGTGACTGGGCTTTGACCTGCACTAAATGTGCTAAAAAATGTGTCTGGAACCTTTTTGTAAGGGGACGCGGAGAAGTAAATTAGTCCAAAGCAAGTTACTGTGGTGCTGATATCACCTGCAGTAAAGTTCTGAAGTTTGTTGTGATGCACATGAATATGTCAGACTTTAATGGTCCTGTGGTTTCATCATTAAACTCCCTGGATTCACTGCTCTACCAGAGGCTGAACTTCACAGTCTGCCTTTGCTTCTTAGTATAAAGAGCCTGGCATGTCACACAAGTTATGTTGAGTCACCTGTTGTATTTAGGTGCAGTATTAAAGTACAGGACCCAAACGTGAATATACTGTAATTTCTGGACTATTGAGCGAACCTGAGTATAAGCCTCACCCACTAAATTTAAAAAGAAAAAAATAATTGTACATATATAGGCCGCATTTCTCTGTAAGCCGCAGGTGTCCATGTTGTAACATGGGACCGTTACATGGAAAGATTTTTTTTGTCACTTTTAATTAAATAAATGCTTCTTTCTGAACAGTGCCTGTAATACCGCTAGTTACATGTTAGCTCTTTCCTGCTTTGCCGCACCGACCGTAGTTCGAGGCTCAACCTGCTCTCAACTTTTGCTACACCGACCATAGTTCGAGGCTCAAACTGCTCTCAACCTTTTCTACCATTCTCTCTGTCGCTCGCGCCCCACGCACATATGCGCACAGACGGATATACGCTACGATAAGTGTAACACACAGTAGCCTACCAGAAAAGTCACTGATCGCTAGCAGTGTGAACCTTATTAGCTTGTAAAAATCCATAACTAAGCTGCATCATTGTTTAAGCCGCAAGGTTCAAAGCCTGTGAAGAAAGTAGCAGCTTATAGTCCGAAAATTACGATAACCAAAATTTCAAGTAAAAACATAGCTTAATGTTTTTTGCTGTTAGCAGATCAGATCTAGCTCATCTACAATTTTATATTTTGTTTTTTAAAAATATACTATTAGTAGAACTTGTTTGATAACGATAATTATCAAACGAAACTGATAATGCCTCTGTGCCAGCACAAAACGTGTGTTGTTTGTTTATCTTGGTTTATTTCTTAAGGGGACGTCTGACAAGGAACTACTGTGTTTTGTAGCTGTTCGTTGGTCAATTAATGCCTTAAAGAACACTTTTGTTAAAATAAATACTCAGATACTGAAATCTTCTACTTTTCCAAAGAGGTGTCTCACCTCAACAAAAAAAAAAAAAAGTATAAAGTACAGTGAAATATCGTATTTGATCCTGCATGCAGATTTGGTCATTAACTCTTTTAGTCAGTTACACTCGAAACTTTCAGTTAACGCCTGTACTTTTTTTTTTTTTATCAGATGAAATAGATCACGTCCCAAAAGCCTTTGTACCTGCGTTCTCCAAGAGTATATTTGACTTGTACATTAAAAGTCTGGTATTGACGTGCGCAGGGCCGTTGTGTCCTCGATATCAGTCAGGAAGAAGAAAAGCTGAAGACTTATCTCCCCTCTCTGTGTTTGTGCAACAGAAATGGAAAAAAAGCAAAGAATGAGTTAAAGTTGTCAGGAAAGGATTGTCTTTCTGGCTGCTCCAACCAAATCCATACCGATTCACGTTACGGCATGAGAGAGCAAGGCAGAGTGTGAGAGAGGTGATCGTTTCAGATTGTTGGTTCAGGCCATTGTTACCCTGTTGGATCTGTATTGAGCCGCCTTAACACACAGAATGAAGTCAAACTGGCAGATGTGACTGAAAAGGTTTGGAAGAAAAAGTTCACCAGAGGAGAGAAAGTAGGAGAGGATATGTTTATCAAGAAGTGTCCTCCCATTGAGAGGAAGTAGAAAGGTGTTCATTTTTGATACTCATGATTGGTATCGGTCTAATTGGTCTTAATTGGTCAAAAATGACTGGATTGAGCGCTGGAAAACGTTCCAATCCGATAGCAAAGCTTAAATGCTCAACGTAGCTTTGCCGACATGCCGTAAAAAGGGACGCTAACGCTTTGGCAACAACAGCCAGCTGCAGGACAAAAGAAGGTATTGGAATGATGTCGGTATCGGCAGACGTACGTTGCAATATTGATATCAGATGTGGAAAATATATATTATATATTGCTAAATATTGTTAACTTGGATGATTATCTATATATAACATTTTATAACATTTTACATATATTTATAAATATATTTAAAAATACATTTTTATATTTATATATATTTGACAGAAGTAGAGAAGAAAGTATTTTGGTATTTTGACTGACAAATATAAATAATTTATTATTGTGATGTGTACGACTGGAACACGGCCATGTGCTGCTACCACACTCTCTGAGACATTCCAGTGGTACATGTGTAAAATAAAAGCATCTATAGATTCACTCCACTAACCCTGCAGAAGCAGTAGCAGAAGGAAACACAGAAAAGCTTCCAGCTGCTGTGACACAACATTCTGTCCAGCTTTTACTTCCTAGTTTATTTATACTTGTTTTAAAAGTACTGCTGTATGTTTATGGCTTTCAAACGATCCCTACATATATTGTAAGGTGTGTATACACAGTGTATATATATATGTGTGTGTATATATACTGTATATACATATATATATATATATACATATATACATACATGTTTATATATGAACATATATATTTATATATGTTGATATAAATATGTATATACACAGTGTATATATGTATATATGTATGCTTATATATTAACACATATATTCACACATGTTTATAAAAATATATGTGCACATGCATAAATATACATGTTAATACTGTATATAAATATATAGATAGTATAAACGTATATATGTAAACACAATATATATTTACTAACAGCATCAGTACAACAATACGTTATAATATGTTTTATGCTTTGAGATTAATACAAAATGACATCAAATAAAAATCCTTTCACATATTTATTCAACGCCTCAGTCACAGCATATACAATGAGTTAAAGAAAAAAAAAAAGCTTTCAGTATCAGTTCCACAATTGGGCACAATGTATTCGACACATTAGAAACCAAATATCGTGTCTTAATTAGTCTCTCAGCAGAAACATGAAACTGATTGAATTAATTGGAATTGTGTTCTATAACATGCCTGACTTGAAATTCACTTAACTGGTTCTAATTTCTATTTTTTTCCTGTATGTGTCAGTGACTTTTCTTCTTCTGCTGCTGTCAAACCGCTCTACCGGTCTGCATGAGTACCTTTGAAGAAGCGTACCTCTTGTTATTTCAGAAATGTGACTAATTTTTATTTGTTTCAGGTTTTTGTCCATTGAACTGCACAGTAGTTAATCGACTTTGGAGCCTGGCTTTTATTATTATTAGAGTCATGACGTATTTTATTGGAATTTGGAGACTGGCTTTTATTATTATTAGAGTCATGATTTTTATTTTATTTATTTATTTTTTGTCTCAAATTTTCAAAAACTGTAGTTGTTGTTAGACGTATAATATTCAAGTTTTCTACCACAGTTTCTTACATATTTTAGAATAAATCACTGCTGTTTTGAGTGTAACCCATTGAATATAGTGCTGGGAATTCTGGGAATTGTACTAAGACTTTCCCTTAGTTATACTGGACATATATACAGCAGGGATGCTGCCCTCTTTTTGCCTTTTCATGTGATTTTCAAGTGATTATGTGTGATTATTTATCAGTATGCAAAGCGCCTGTAGGTGGCACTAAAGCACCTGAAGAGTTTTGACTGCAATTAAAGCCAAAAGAAAAAGATAGCATTTGCATTAGCAAAACTTAGCATTGGAGGACTGAGACTGAGTAATGTAGATTAAAAAAAAACGTAAAATGAAAATGAACTTTTTTGTATGAGTTTTTTTATATATATAATCAGTACCAGGAATGATTACGTTCCACAGTGCTGTGTACTTTCAATATTTTGTGGTACGACGTGGTTAGAGGTGAAGGTTCTGACAGAACAGTGGTGCTCCTCAAAAACAGACAAATTTGTAGTAATATTAGTAGTTCCCTTGTACTTTAACACTTATTTTAATTATTTGGTCTTCCTTTGAGACTCTCAAACTGCCAGCAGCTGTGAAAAATAAAAAATAACAGAGTTGTCCGATAGAGAATTTCTTTGCCGTCCACTGTGTGACAGCAGACAGCAGCTATCAGAATAATAAAGTATCCATCAGGGACTGAGTGTTTGTGTGCGTTTCCATGCAAGAAAACTCCTGTTGTCGTTCTGTCACCGTTGGCTTATATCTCCTGCCAGCAGACAAGGCAGACGTCGCCATAGTAACTGACTTGAACTAATTAGAGCAGCTTGACTTTGAGATGATGAACTCCATACCTGGCTGAACAACCTCAGGGAGAGAGAGAGGCGCAGGCAGGGCTGGGGGTGATGACATGAGGAGGGTGGAGGAGAAAAAGCAGCTGGAGGAGGAAGCCCATGCGGTGCTGATGACCTCTGAGATGGAAGCACAGGGCCTCCCAGAGAGCTGATGAACTCGACCACA